GGTTCTCGGGCTTTTGCTCTAAGAAGAGCGGATCTCCTCGGCCTTGAAGAACCAGAAGAAGAAAAGTATACTTCTTTCTGAATTTGGTCCATGAAACTGGCTTGAAGCAAGCTCACTCTCAGCCGGATCGGGTCTGAACTCCCAGCGCAGGAAGGGCAAGGTGTGTCTCAGGCGGCCAGCGGATCTGATTGATCGCAGGGCCAAGCTGGAGACGCATGCGGTTTTCGGGGTGCTCTCTTTCCTTCTCTGGGAAGAGCTGGAGATTTGGTGAGAAGGAAAAGAAAGGATCCGACTGAACTACAGCATGTAGAAATTCCAAGGAGAGAGAGAGAGAGAGAGAGAGAGAGAGAGAGAGAGAGAGAGAGAGAGAGAGAGAGAAGCAAATGATCTGGGAGGATAGAGCAGGCACAGACTTTCAAACCCAGGCCCCGGTGAGGTCGGGATACTCGGATGGGCGCGCGGGGCACAGCCCTGCTCAGGACCCAGGGGACTCAAGCAGGTGCAGGCCACAGTGGGCGATTTCAACAATTTCTAGGTTGGCTCTCTGGAAGCGAGGGGTGTGAGTGGTTTTAAACAAAAAAAGGCCGATTTTGTGCCACAGAAAAGAAATTTTAAGGGACATAAATGTTCCAGGGTAAAATGCAACGGTAAGGAGCCGGGTTATCTTTTGGAGGCCGCTCGGGCGATGCCCCTCACTCGCCAGGAGGGGGCGCATTTTCTTTAGGATTGCGGCGGCGTTCCTGCACAGCGCAGCCAGACGGCTCGGCGGTGCGGAAATCTGTCCTGCTCCGGTCTGCAAGCGTCTAACCTGGGCACAGCTTGGCCCGTGCCCCGCACCCCGAGCCCGTGGACCCCTGGCGTCCCGGAGGGGCCTCGGCGCTGGGCCAAGCGTTCCTCCGGCATCCCCTGAGCTCCTCGGGGATCCGGCATGGCCTCGGTCTCGGAGGTAGTCCCTTCCACCTTGGGTAAAGAAACAGCACGGCAACTCTCGCGCACAGCGCACAGATCGGTGCACATCGAACATAATTCTGGACTCAGCTTTTCACCGAAAAGTAAAACTCCACGTGCCTTCTGCCCAGGTTTTACGTCGGACCCTCAAGTCATCATCCTTCCACTTTGCGGATGAGCGTATGATCACCGCTCCTGAAAGCACACGCGGGTATTCCTGGTTCCCACGTACTTTTCATAAACGGGGGACATTTATATGCCTGTGCGCTTTGCTACGTTTGCTGCGGAGGCAAGGAATTTCGAGATACTTCTGTGCTTGCGAAGAACTTACTAGTTGGGAGCTGCCTGAAGAGAAGGCATTTCACTTTCTCTTTCAGTTTTGATATTTGTAACTTGTCTGTAACTGTCACAGCAGGAAACACCGGCGCTTGCGTCCATGGCTATCTGCTCTCTTTGCACCCTGGACTGCGTGCTTCCCGCAGAGGTTTACCCCACAAACGCATGTGAAGTCGCTTTACCAGCCTCTGGTGCTCAATCCGCCCCTCAAGATGGATTTTGACCCGATTGACAGTAATGGGTCCAGAGAATTACTCCATTACAATCCATCATCCCCGTGAATACAGAGGGACACCTGCATTTTCCGGTTACCTGCAAGCTATGTCAGCTCATAATGGGGGGTAATGAGTAGACCCCCAAATGTCCATCTGCAAAGGGACTACAGAAAAGCTTGCTTTGGAAGCAAAAATCTCATAAATGTTAAGTAAATAAGCTGGTTAGAAGAATGAAGTCACTTTCTTGCATCTGGAGAATACAGAGAGGTGGGATTCAATTAGTTTCAATCCAGAGTAACTCAAATCAACATAGGCTACCTCCCAGTTAATTTTCTGGAAGCTGCTGGGTTTGCACTGGGAAGGCAGGTTGAGGTCCTCCTTTCTCTGTGAGTAAGAGTTGAGTGGAAGGCAAGCAGAGATCGTCACAGCTCCCAGCTTACCCACTTTCCAGGTCTTTCTTTGGTCCCCTGCCAGGAGGCTGGAGCCAACTTGAGCACCTCTCCCCTCAGGGACCCCAGGGAGCCTGGTGGGGCTGGGACACACTAGGAGCTCATCTGGAGCCCTGATGCTTCGCTGTGCAGCTCCTTCCTGAGGATGTCCCTCCCAGCCAAGTCTGGGATTCATGCGGCAGGCAGACTGTGGGTGAGGGAGCCAGTAGGAGCCGTGTTTGCATGCCTGTCCCAGGGATGCAGCCTGCAGGTTCTAAATGAACCAAGGCTGCAGCTGTGGCATGTGTCCCAGGGATAAGATAGTGGTGGATAGGAGTTTTGCTGCCTTTGCTGTGCTCATCCAGGCCACCTTCACCCTTTTTTTTTTTTTTTTCTTTTTCAGTACTGGGTACCCGACTTCAGATTTTGCACTTGCCAGCCAGGTGCTTATACCGCTGAGCTATGTCCGCAGTCCAGCTTTTACCACACTTAACATGCAATATCTTCCAGAGTTTTAAAGGAATTTGACTTTGCTCACAAGTATCCTCCTTGGCTTCAGATATTCTCAGTCTTTTGCTCAGCTATCTTTCCAAGTCACAGTGGTGAAGTCAGAGTGAGGCTGTCTCTGAAGTAGAGGGAGAAATTGCAGTGAGTGGTAGCCATTTCCTCAGCTTCATAGGCTTCTTCCTGCCTGTCTGACCCCAAGGGAAACAAGCCTGGGTTTGGCCTTTAGTAGAGATGGAGGCCAAAATTTGGAGACCACTTACTCAGGGACTGAGAGTGGCATGGGGACTTTTTAGCTCCTAGCATATCCTGGAGTTTGTTTTTCTGACATTTTGGGGTAGTCCATTGTAGCTCCTTTGGGCTACACAGGAGGCAACATCTTGAAGCAAAGGGGTGGGGTGGGGGTGGTACACAGAGTCCCAGTGACATCTGTCAGCACCCAGCCACTCTGCACAGCACTGTCTCACTTTTTAGGCCATCCAGGCAGAAGTAGCTGGGACTTTGCTGAGAGGCAGTCTGTGGTCTTGGATCCCCTACCATGCCAATACAGCTTTCCCACCTTGCCCTGTTTCATATCTGCTGCGTTCTAGGGTTAGCCCAGACATGCTTTGCTGCCAAGCTGGCAAAGCAATGTTTTATGGCCCTGTTATTGATTTTCTTCTCTCAGGAACATGGACATTCTCAACCAAGACTTCTTCATGAACCCTACTTGGAGATTTTTGGAAGTCCTGAGGTGCATTTACCAAAACCCCCATTTTGGGAGAGAAAAGCAAGAGGAAAGATGGAGGAAACACAATGGGGCTGCAAGGAACTCAGCGGAGAAGACCCCTTCACCACCTGTTCAGCCTCATCCCAACTGTCCCAAGAGCGGGGAGGTCCTACTGTGTTTCTCTTTTCTGGGAAAGTTTCACAATTGGTATGGAGGTTCCCCTAGTGCAGGTTACTCAGGAAGTGTGAGGATAAAACACATTAAGTCCCTCACTCAAGGTGGAGTTAAGGAGATCCAGGAATACCCCAGCTGGCCTTTCTTTTCCTTGCTATTAAAGCTTGTTGTTCCACGAACAGCCTCCTGGCAGGAATTATCTCAGGCTCTTTCTGTCCCATGGGGCTTCCCCTGGCCAGGGTGTTAGGGACACTGGCTGAAGCTTAGGTTTCAGAGGCTCTTAGCTCCTGCGGCTCTTACTCCTGCACCAACCTGTGGGAGGAGAAGGAGCACAACCTCTTGGGCAAACATTGCATCTCCTCTTCCTCCAAGTAAAAGCCATCAGGAGCTGGAGGCCAGGTTCTGTTGTAAAGTGTAAGGGATGTAAGCCACTTCTCTTCCAGGTATGCCCTTTGGGGAGGAAGAATTCCAGAATGTCTTCCTAGTTAGGGGATCAAACTCTCTGCTCACCTCAAAAAAAAAAAAAAAAAAAAAAAAAATCAGATTGGCTTTGTAAGCACAAGCTGGAGAAGGAATGCTCCTTCCCAGAGCCACAGTGCCTGTGTGACAGAGACCCATGGAGTCCAGGGGCTGGGGAAAAGGCAAGGAATGTGGGGTGTGAACCTGGAAACTGGCACCTCCTGTGTGGCACCTAGTGTGGTGCTCCAGGAAAAGTCTGGGGGGTGGGTGGAGCTAGGGTGAGCTGGAGGTCAGCTGGCGGAAGGTGGTGAGCACTGGTAGTCCCCATAGATCTAGGCAGAGGGACAGCTTTTCCTAGGCCAGAGCCAGACTTGGGGAGTCCAAACTGTACCTGAGCCAGCTGCCCGACTTCGAGGCCCTGGAACTGACAATCTCCTTTCCTTTGGTGCCTGTGGTACCCTCCAAAGTCCCACCTTGTATTAAGTAAAAGTAACAGTGTGATTACAGAGTGCGCTTGTGCTTTGGGGTCAGATCCCAAAGTTCTGGGTCCCAGGAAACTAACCTTCTTTACCAGCTCTACCTCTGGTCTTGCTACTGATCTCCGCCGGGTCGGGGCGAGCCCCAGGCACGCTGATGTCGGGGCTGCTTCAGGGGCGACCCGGCCCTCCCGCACCGGGAGCTACCCCTGTTGCCTGCTGGTTCTGGTTCTCCCCGGGCACGCCAGGGACTGCTGCACACCCCGGGACCACCGCCTGCGGAAGGTACTGAGAGTACTTGGAGGACGGATGGCTCGGCTAGGCTTCGAAGTGCTCGGGAGCCCGAGCGACAGTTCCGGGATCGCGGTGCCCAGAGCCGCTCTCTGACCTCCGCCACCTCCCTGGCGTAGGCTGAGTCTTAGGAGCGCAAGAACAGGAGCCCGAGCAAGGAGTCTCATCTGCTGGGAGCCGATTCCTCCAGCGTACCATGGGTGTTCCTGTGGGCTCCAAACGCAGAGAGGGTCGTGGGGAACCGGAGAGGAGGGGACCAGGTCGGAGAAGGCCGGGGCCAAGGGAGTGCAGCTGCCAAAGTCTGCTGCCCCGGTCAGCAAAACTTTGTCTTTCAGTGCGCAGGCGCGGCAGGGTTGGGGGCAGGGGAGGGAGGGGAAGAATCCGGGAGCCTGGGGCGGCGGAGGGAGGAGGGAGGGTGTGCGATTAAAATAAGTAGGCGGCTCGGTGCGAAGGGATGAGTGAGACGCAGCTTGGCCTCTCCTTAGCGCGTTCTCCACTGCTGTGGTACAGACGGCGAGGAGCGGGAGCTGGGCTCTCCGTCCCGGGCAGGCGGGACACGGGCGATCCTCGCGCCCGACGCTCAGCTTCCCTGTGGCCAGTAGAGCCGGTACCGATCCGGATCCGGAGCACCGGGGGTGCCTGCGGGTTTCAGCGCCGCGGGCTCCTCGGGTCCTGGGCCTCGAGCGGAGGACACCGTGAGTCCCTGAGCCGCCACTGCGGAAGGAGGTAAACGCAGCCCGGGGCTCCCGGACTCAGCCTGGGCGCCGCAGGCGGGACTCCGGGGGTCCCAGTCCCAGCTCTGTTCGCGCACTTCGGCGGGTGCTCTGCTTTACCAGCGAAGGCTGCGGGACGGGGAGGAAGCGAGGGTGCTGCATCCCAGGGTGGCTGGGCGGTGGCCTGGGACTTCTCAAGCAGTTTCTGGGCCCCTGACTTCGGCGGGTGAGGGCGGCCTCGGGGGCCGCTGCTTCCAGCCCCTCCGAGTCCTGCAGGAGAAGTGTGCAGAGACCTCGGAAGTTAGAGTAGCCTGATTTCTCTATAAGAAACCTGAGCAACTTCACCAGGCACAAACTTTGCAAGGCGCGCGCCTAACTCGCGCTTTAGATGTGAAAGCGGGGCGAGGAGTGCGCGGCGGGGTGCGACGGCGCTCCTGGCCCGGGACAGGTGCAGGTCCGGCTGCCCGCGCTGCAGTGCGCGCTGTCTGTTGGCAACTTTGGCTCAGGTAGGGTCAGCTGCAGACTCGGGAGCTCAGGCCGCGTTTTACACGCCTGCCTTGCACATGGACTCTTACATTCTCATAGAATGATTGCCTTATGTTCAAGGCTGAGTTCAATTGTTGATTGTCCAGGTGAGGTACAGGGAAGCACGCAGGGCGCAAGCCGTACTCCAAATCCCAGACCCTCAAGCGCAGAGGCGGTACGCGCAATGGAGCAGCCAGTGCCTTTGGGTTGGGGATGGGAAGAAAGAATTCTTTTGCTCCCTGACCGTCCCATAATAGCCTTCAGAAAGAAAGGTGGAAGCCTGGGATTAAAAAGGAGAGGCTGCCCGCTGAGCTAATTTCTCCCTTGAAACGTCTCTGATAAGAGTGGAAACTCACGTGCTGTCCTTTTTCAACAGCTCCAGTAGTAGCGGGTGGGCTCCTGGAATGAAAACTAGCTGGGAGAGTTTCTTTGTTGCAGTAATTGTGTACATTTCACCCGGCGAAGAGCTGCGCCTTGGTTTTCAGAAACAGTACCTGGAGCAAGGCTAGGCTCTCTGTTTTACAGCTTCCCAGGGAGGACAGAGGCTGGTGCCGGACAGGGAGCGACCGTTGGGTAGCTGGTTCATCCCGGGCTTCTGAAGTTATTGAGGTTCCGTTAAGAGTGGGGGCTGGTCTGCTGATCACGGAGGACACAGCAGGATAGTCCTGTCGCTAATGGGTCCTTCGCTCTTCGTTGGGAGGACGCAATAAAAGCACTGGGTGCGGGTCAGTCCTTTCGGAGAGGGTGCGCACGCCTGTCAGTCACCGCTCGTGTAGGGGAATTCGATGTCAAGGTGATTATTTCGGTCGCCTGGGCTCCGACAGGCGCAAGCTGTGGAGTTCGTTCAGTCCTCATTAATGAAAGCAGTTAACTCACTCACGCTCAATTAGCCCCGAATAAACTACTTTAATAGACTCTGCACACTTCATTAATGCCCAGCATAGGGCTAGCGGCAGACCCGGGATTGGCGCTCCGCCGCGCTGGGTCCCGGGCTCCGCGGCGCGATTGGCGTTCCCCGCGCGCAGTCGGGGCCTGGCTCTCAGTTCCCGAGGCGGAGGCCGGGCTGCTGCGGAATAGGTGGCTGGCGTGGCAGAGGCGACCATGGAAGGCTTTCACACTGGGCTATCCGGTCGGAGGAAAAGAGCCGGGTCGAAGACTCATTTTCTCTGGCCGGCGAAAGAAATGAGAGACTGTGTCTCTCTTAGCTGACCGCCTGAAACCGGATCGTGCATTCTGCCCATTCGCGGTGCTAGTGTAAAGAGCCACGTTTCCAACGAATTTCGTCCACCACAAAGTCTTTGGCGGAAACCCGGAGAGCCCTGGCCTCAGAATACTGTGAAAGAAAATAAGAAACTGGCTGAGCCGCACAGGAAAATAAATGGAGTGTTGGGGGAAGTAAGATCGGGCAGATAGCCCGGAAAGGTTGCTCCCAGGTGCCCTGAGAGTTGGCCCATCTCGCTCTCAGCCCCCCTACGGAGTCTAGGGTCTCTGAGGTCTTTCTGCCTGCTTGAGGGGAGGCCAAGGCAGGCCAGGCGAGGTTGGTGGGTTCTCCTCCTCGAGCTCGGAGCAAGCTTGGGACCCGCCTGCAGCCGAGTCCTGCCTCCAAGGCTGCTCCATGGTCTCGCTTAGGCCTAGCCGCTAGCGTAGCAAGAGGCGTCCACGGTTGCCCAGCGGCCCAGGAGCCAGAGAACAGGATCTGACTTCCATAACCTGGAGAAGAGAAGGGATAGTGGATCAAAAGCGCTCAGCTTGCTAAATCTGGTCAGACCTCTGAAGCTGACAGTCTTCTACACCTACTCCGCAACCCAAAGGGACTTCCTCTCTGGTTCATTTTATACTTTGTTTCTCCCTTGTCCCAGATCTCTGGTGTTCTCTTGGTTTGTCCCTTGGAGCACTGCAGAAGACTGGCACCTAGGCTCTGTCATAAGGTGCTGGCTCTCAATGCAGAAGTTGACTGCAAAGATCTGTGCTTCCCCTGCCCCGGGGCTGAACAGTGTCAGTGGTCCCAGCATTTCCATCTGCTGAGTGACAACCTGTGCAGGTTCATCTCTTCCTGCTCTGGAGTTTTACACTCCCACCCAGCAATGCCTCTTTCCTTAGATCCCAACCTCACAAGCCACACCCTCTGCCAG